AATATCAATACATCATCATAAGAAAACGTTATGAGAATTGATGAAATGATCACCTAAGAGAAAATGCTTTGATTTTTAACCAAATTCTCTCAACTAATTCTTTAAGGAAATTTAAACCTCAATCCCCCCCCCCGAAAATATCAATCCATCATCATCATGAGAAAACGTTATGAGAATTGATGAAATGATCACCTAAAGTAAGAATGCCGCGGGACAAAGACAACCGAGAACCAAAAGGGACGCAATGCATTTGTTTTTAACCTAATTTGAGCATTGCCAGGTTTATGTAGCGTGGACAGCATCACATCTAAAAAAAATTCGATAAGATGTCAGATCATTAGTCTTGATCCCAATGCTAGCAGGGCGAGCCCAATCCCTTACCTGACCCCACACGCAGCGGCGTCACCGAGCCTTTCGATCTAAACTATTGCCGTCTACTTAAATTTTTTCTTCTGCTACTTTAAATTCCTGGAGAACCCTGATTTTGATACATGATTCTAGCGATCAACATTGCTACACACACACGCTTGAAATAAAAGACGTGTACTTCGAAATTTTAAAAATCACGTATCGTTTCAACAGAGCGATCTTCTGACGACGATGATGACCACTTTCAAAGTAAGAAAGAAGATGATGAGAACAAAGACGATAAAGGTGATGAGTTCGATGATAACGACGATAGTCATAACAGTGATGGCGTTGAGGTTGCTGGCGATGATGTTGGTGATGATAATGGCGGTGGAGATGAGATTACCGAAGAACAAGAATTGCTACAGCAAATTCAAGAACTTAGCCTAGAGGGACAGGTGGAAGACTTGGATGAATCAGACTCGGTTAAAATAAAAATACACGAGTATGTATACTAATGCTTTTTATTCAACCGTAGGAACGCATTGTTGGGGAATCTACGAGCAGGCGTTCTTTTCTGGGGGGTGGGGCGGAGGAGAGCGACGGGTAAATAATAATGTAAATAATAATATTTTATAAACAGCTATTAATCATTCAAAGTTTTCGCCGTCTCTGATTGGCCCAAGGCCCCAAGCCCTAAGCTAATTCTTCTTAACTGTACTACGAGGATGAGTTCGGCTTTCGTATATGATGTGAAGGATTGTGCAGATTTCAGAGACTGTTATCCACCTCAGGGATAAGAGTTCCCCGAGTTGCATAATTCTTCACATCTTACTCAGCCTCAGTAAATAATTGCTAATTAAATTATAAAATACCATACTGTACCTCTAAAATATCTTGTATACCGTTAATCTCATGGATATCATTGACACCCTGAATTAAGCTGACAGAAGCCTCAGTGAAAACGAACCTAGATCAAGTGAACACTTTTAGAGTCTTTTACGGGAATAAGATAATTTTGCGGGCACAATCCTGTCCTGGAAATTAGATATCGCACAACCTCAATACCGTGCGTGGCTTGCCTGGTATGTGATTATTTTAAACGGGTTTCGATTAATTAATGTTTTAATAATTTTTTTCAGAGGAACAATCACCAGTGAAGGTACCTATTGGGCCCTTAAACGAGGGAGCACCCACGTTTTCTTTCCCCCTAACGCTGTGTCTCAGCCCACATTAATAGTGGCCCACAGGTGGAAATGCAGTGCACGTTCTCCCCCACTGCAAGAGCACGAGTCAGTTGTCAGTAATGTTATTGAGATATCAACCAAAACTGGCGATGAACTGAAATTCGACGCCAAAGCGAAGCTTGTTCTTTCTCACAGTGCGCCTGATTTGCAGGGCTACGAACTAGTGATAAAGAAGCTGATCGATTGGAAAAGCAATGAATGGGAAGAGGTGGATGGAACTAAGGCATTACAGTGTCTTAAAGGTTTGGAAACTGATGCTTTTTGAAGAGCAGCCTACCCATAGTATTTACCCACTGTTTAAAGTATATCTTCACCTGTGAAATGCTGTCTGTTCAATGTTTTACGTTTACTGCACGCAGTTTGTATATTTACAGAAATCACAATGGCTTATAGTCTTTCCACTCTGAATTGTTTACAGCGGTCGAAGAGGACTTCCCGCCTCACCCGCGGGATGTACCGGAATTTTTCTTTCCCGTTGCTCAAGCTGACATAACTGAGTGCTCAACATACGCAGTTGTTTGTCGTCTCAAGCCTTCTCCAGCGTACGCCATCACATCTAGTGGTGGCTCCTTTAGCCATCCTGACTATCCACGCGTGACAGTTACAATCCCTGAGAATGCTGTGATACCTGAAGCAAAGATTCCTCTGGTATTGAAGGTAGGACGGTATGCATTATCTCGAGATCTTTTCTTGCTGTGGTTACATGACCAGTTAATGTTTCTAGGGATAACTCTTACCAGGTCTCCAAACTCGACAGAAATGTAACAATACAGCAGACGTTAGATGAGTGAAATTAGGCTCGTAAAAAGTGTTTTTGTCATGTGGAGACTATTGCGTTGTCAGATAGATAAGGTTTTGCTATAGTCTCCACCGGATATGGTGTTCCTTGCGAAAATGGTCTCTTTTTTCCTCTAAAACTCGAAAAAATGGCAGCAAATCTGACAGTAAGTTCAGGTTAATTTAGTTGTGTTTTCTATTATCCCTTTAGGTGCAAGAAGTTCCAGGTGAAGAATTTAAAGACCAAGACGTGTTTCTTGGACCAATACTGCGTGTCAGCTGTTCCCAAATCGTCGAATTCTCGAAGCCCGTCACAATTCAGTTGCCAGTGTCTCTTCGCAGCGACCAGGAAAGGATTCCAGTCCCCTCGACATGCCGTGTCAGAGTATTGTTCTTAAATTCTGATGACGAAGAAAAAAAATGGATCGAAATTACAGATGGTCTTAAATGTCCTGTACATTTTGACGGGACATTTGTTAGGTTCCAGGTAGAACGCTTTTCTGGGTAAGAAGACATCCAAATGTTGTAGTTGTTTTGTTGTTAATGAATTGGAGGTAAACTGAACTTTTGGTTATGCTAACGCAAGTTAGCATACATTGAAACTGTTGGAATACTAAGCTACTATGAGCTACTATGACCTTATTGTTACTCTTTTTAACCTTTTAAAATTCTGATAATACTTATTTTTTGCATAGCTTTTATACTGTATAGCTAATGTGTGCTTTTAGTTTGTAGTTTTGTGTGTACTACTTAGTAATATTTTTCTCTCGCTAAATTAAGTTTGAGTCAACTGATTAACCGCCTTAGTGTATCCTCATAGTTTTAAAGTGGTATTTAAGTAATGGAGATATCAACTAGCGTCTTTTAGCTGTGCAATTCAAAGTCAAAATCATTCTGTCTGCAAAAGTAATTCAAATTCCGCTCTATGTCTCTTTTAGATACACTTGCGTTTTTGAATGGTACAAAGAGGACTTCAGCCTTTCTGGAGTAATAACATACTTGACAAGCCTTATTTGGAAGCAGCCATTACTTGGCGTTTTCTTCTCCTATTTCAATGAATTAGATCGTGCTTATTCTCAAGATGTTCTCCATCTTATATGCTGCCCAGCGCACATGAGAGAAAGAGTAGTCCAAGAGCTAGAAAACGCAAACGTGGTTCCAAGTGAGGAAAATTCACGGAAAAAGCTGATACCGGGGTATGACAAAGCATTCGTGTTTGTATCAGGAGGAATAACCCCAGCTGAAATAGAAGACATGGAAGATTTCCATCTCATGTATGTACAGGCGCTGCTACACAAGGCAGGTTTTTGAGCGACGCAGGTCAACCGGAAGTCAGGCCGTTTTCCTTTGGAATATGCCTTGACGATACAAAATTTGTATTGCCAAGAGTCTTTACTCTTTTAGAGACGATTTTCCCGAAAACCTGGGCAAAACCACTACCCAAGACTGCAAAAAGTCCACTTCCGGTTGACGTGGGTCGCTCAAAAACGCCTTTCCACAAGCCCCCTAATTAGTCTAATTTCTCCCGAAATGAAAATGTCTCGCTACGGATTTTTTGCAGCGAGCCCTCGTAGCAGGGTGTGCTTTTCCGAGTGTCTCGCACGAAAACTTGTCCAGTTTAAGGTGACTCGACCCATTTTTTTTTTTTTTTTTTTTGGGGGTACCATCCTACTTTCAAGCTCTCTGGCATCCCCACCTTTACTTTTATCGAAAGTCTAACACATAGAATGGATAACATATAGATCAATCTACAATATAACGTAAAATTTTTGGCGATCGGAGTAAATGTCACTTGGTTATAATGCCACGCCCCTTTGAGGTCTGAGTCGAAAATCTGCTGTTACCGGCATTTTTTCGTGAAAATCTCTCGGCTACACATAGCATTCGGAAGTCAGCCAAGCGTGGTCATTGCACGCGTGCTGAACAAGAATGCTGTATAATGACAGACTAGAAACAAAAGACAACTCCCAAAGCACAAACTCAGCCAAAACGCTAAAAATCTTCAATGTTTACTCAAGTTTGGGCTTATAGAAGATAATGTCACAGTTTTTCAATGACCATGAATTCAGAGTCCGGGTAGTTAGTTAATCAATTGTGGCCCTGAAAAAATTTGAAGGAAAAAAAAGTACGAATTTTTAAGAAAATGCTTTTTTCGTGAGAAAGACTCTTAAACGCTGACAAACGTCAACAAATAGCGAAAACTATAATTTGTATATGTTTGCTTTGCTCGAAATCGCGCGCATTTACAAGGCCCTAAAGCGTTTTGCTGACTTGCAAGGACCCATCTGTTATACATTGTAACGATGCCCAAAATAAAGAGATGAATCTCATAGTTTATTAGATATAATCCGTGTAAAGTTTGCTTATCATTTTCGCATAAATTATGACCTAAATTTGGAAACCGCTGAATTTCTCGAATTGGGTCTTTGCGATTTTGGTGAAACTCTGTGTAGCGCAAGGCACTAATGCGCACTATGTGTAGCCGAGAGATTTTCACGAAAAAATGCCGGCAACAGCAGATTTTCGATTCAGACCTCCAAGGGGCGTGGCATTATAACCAAGTGACATTTACTCCGATCGCCCAAAATTTTACGTTATATTGTAGATTGATCTATGTGTTATCCATTCTATGTGTTAGACTTACGATAAAAGTAAAGGTGGGGATGCCAGAGAGCTTGAAAGTAGGATGGTACCCCCCCCCCAAAAAAAAACTGGGTCGAGTCACCTTAACAGCGTCTTTATTTCAGTATTGTTATCGCTTAGTAACTTAATATTTTGAATGAAGGCACGGGGTTTGAAGTGCAAACATAATGTAACATTACTGACTTTAGATTGTGTCACAAATGGACGAAAAGGTTTCGTTGCAAGTTAAATTTACTTTGTGTCCATAATGGAAAACTATATGTACTTGTTTTCAAAGTAACACTAAAACTATTAGTTAAGCGCGTCGTCTGAAGTCATGCACATTTAGCTAAAAAAAGGAGAGACAGCATTCAAATATTTTTAGTTTCAATTGCTGTTACGCTTTTGACCCATAAGCACCCGAGAATTTCTACACATCTTGAAAGAAAAAACACCAACACTTCTTGAAATTAAGACTCAATTGTGCATCAGTGGGATAAACTTATTTTATTTCGTGTACATATCCTTTCAGGTTTGAGAGCGATAACCGTGACAAAAAGCAACTGCCTGATCGTTTGATAAGTGACCAAGTTTTATCCCATGTGGAGTTTCGCAGCAGCCCGGATCCTACAGCGAAGAACCTATTGTCCAGATTGAACTTTAGATTGTCTTCAATGAAACTTGATCTCACGGTGAGTACTACACACAAAAACGCAGCGTACCCCGTGTTTTCCTTATTTATCAGGCCATTTACAGCTTTATGCGACACATCTCAATTATCTCTTCATGCGAGACACAGGGTCCTTGGAGGAATTATGCTCACTGAACTGGGTTTAAGATAAGCATTCAATTCAAAGGTTTAATTTTTTTAGGGCAGTATCATAATTGATCGGTATATTCCAACGTTTTAGATGTTGCACACAGGAACGATTCAACCTCTCCATCTCCACTCAATTTACCACCAAAACCGTCCCATTACGTCACTGTAGTAAAAACGTCATTTAATTTCCCATCCATAAGATTGCATAAAGGAAAAGAATATGAAGCGGTGCGTCTATCTTAAAATTGTTAGCCTGCCAGCAAGAACTCTATTTCGAGTGGCGAGCGAAACGAGACGCTTGTGAACGCGAAGGAAGTGTCCTCTCGCGTGTCGCTTGCGGGTGACTTCTCACGATAGAGCTTGTTCGCAGGCTATTAAATTGTGAAATAGCTTTTCTGTCACTCAGTGATGGTGTTCGTGCCTTGACCTCTCTTCTTTTTCTTTTATTTACTTTTCAGAAAACTCCAGTAGAATTTTTCGGCGTGCCTTTAAATGACCAAACGCTATCGGATGCTGATCCGAAATATGTACTTTCAGCGTGCAGACCGTTTTTATCTAATGATGCATACCAAGAACACTTCAACCAACTCAACAGTGGCTATAGGACGCCCAAACAAGCACTGAGGAGTCTTTTGCAGTTTGTAGCAGGGTTGGATCCTAACAGCCAAGATGAATGTTTTGAGGCCGTTGTGAGTGCACTTCGAGAGGCGAGCAACGAAGGATTTTTACATGTTATTGAACGTCTTCAGGAAGGTAACATGTTTTGCAAAACGTAACTTCTATAAAGGTTTCGAAGCTATCGCCATCGTAGTATCTGTCATAGATGCTTGTCGGGAAAAATATTACTTCCGGTCACGTGTACTAGACGCTTCCGTAGAATTGAGGCTATCACCTATCGCCAGAAAAATGTACGGCAACCAAGAAGCCTTTTATCTTCTCGGATAAGGACGAAAAACCGTAGATTCTTGTGGGATGTAGAACAGCCCACTGCTGTTCGTAAAGAGTAGGGGTCGTAGACCCCGGTGGTGTGGTACAACCTTTTATTGGCTAGGTGGGTAATGAATGTGTTGATATCAGTAGAGGTTGTGTTTGGACAGCTATTTCGGACAGACTTGGAATATTTCACACGTTTTGCGTTAAAAAAAGCCGAATGTTTGTCCAAAACATAGCAAAAAGTGAAAATATACAATTCGGCTCTTGTCACTATACAATCTCTTTTTTTGTCCTGAATTTACCGAGGAGCACGCAAATTAAGACTAGCTAGGGTGTATCTGGGAGAAGGGGCACCGCCCTCCTTGATTTGCATAATTCGTCAGAATATAAGATAGCCGAATCCAATAATTCGTAATTAATTCTATGTTCTTCTTTTCTCCTCAGCACGTCGAAAGGTTAACATAGCTTTAGTAGAAAGGAGTGAAGTGATCAACAAGGTGTCAGAAAAAGTGTATTCATCGTGAAAAAGACTTGCAAGAGAGCTCGAGCTCAGAGCCGGACAAATTGACAACATATCAGAGGAGGAACAAGATGACGAAGAACGCTGCCATAAAACATTGCGAACATGGTGTCAGCTTAACGGAAGGAATAGCACTATTAGAAAACTCATGATCTCGCTGACAAAAATAGGAAAGGTAGAAGTGAACAATGACATCATGAGATGTTTGCATCTTGTGGAGCCTGATTAATTGGCCATGGGGCTCTCGTTTGAGTCCGCTTTTACCGAATCACTAGGTCACGGTATTGTCAATGGCGACCAATAGATTGTAAGACAAGGCCAACTTCGAGTACGAGATTGTCTCAATACTAAGTAGTGCTGACGCGTGAATCAGCGTCATTTTGGCGAGAAAACGTGTTAGCCGTCATATTTCTACTACGAGTTTCTGCGAGAATATCATAGTGACGGAAACACAAGTCATGAAATATTAGAAGTTTAATCAATTTAATTCTCCTCTGGTGAAAAAAGAGGTACAATAAATTTTTCCGGGGTGTATATTTTTTGAGGATATGCAAAAAAACTTTACGTGAAATCTCGTCCTCGCATCTGAGGGTCTCTAATGATTCGTTTTCCACAAAAATTAATCTGATGTTCAGATCGTAGTGTGATTACGATAACAGTAAGTGTTCAAAGCTTAATACAAAGCTTCCCAAATCCAGTGGCTAAGTTGAACATTTTTTCCTTATGAGCTTTAACTGGCAATCTTAGATGTTATCAAGTTCTTTTGGAATACCGTAAATCCTCTATTAAGCCCCCCCCCTTTCAGAGGAGGAAAGTTAACAAGCCCACCCTCTCTATTAAGCCCCCCTTCCCCCATCCACCCTTTCCTCCATCCTTATTTTCACAAACAATTAACGTGAACTGATCAGTTATGGTTTATTCAGGCTGGAAATTCATATTGGTTTTGGTCTTCGGCCGCATGACCTCCAACTTCATGTGCTTTACTTTTTCAACTTTACGCTCTAGTTCTCTGTGGAGAATTGTTACTATCATCTTATTGCTAGAAAAAGCAGTATAACCCCCCGGAACCACAAGTCCGTCCACGAGAAACCTTGCTCCCGTTGATGCGTTTCGCTAAATTAAATAAGCCCCGCTCTCTTTTAAGCGGTATTTTTAACTGGGCTACCTCAAGGCGGGCCCCGTATATTAAATAGTTTTTTTTTCGTCGTAAAATGAACAGTCAACACTATCAATTATTAACTTAGAATCTCAGAGGGCGTTGCGTGCTCCATAAAACCGATTGATTTCTTTCTGTTTAATGCAACATACGCCTTTTTAGAGGTCTAAATTTCGGATTAGGATAAAGAAGACTCGTCCGACGAAAACAGGAAGTTTGAGAATTTCGCACACAAGTTCACCCCAATAGCCTCATTGGCA